AAATTTAAAAAAACACGTTCGGGACGAAGTGCGAGATTCCCAGATTACTATCGCCCCTCTTGAGACGGTCTCTGGGGGGGGAGTGATGTGGCGTGTAGCCACATAATATATGTCAAAAATTCAAAATATAGTTTTTAACTGTCAACTGCCCTATGTGTCATGGATATCGTTGTTTTTTCCTGATATAAAATCTAGTTGCTAAATTAGTATAAAAATTGCATTAGCCTTCTGTTTGTATATATATTTTGTGTGTTGTCATAAACTATAATTAAATTATAATCTGTGAAAATTGTGAATTGTGGAGCTGATGTATAAAAAGAGTAAACATTATAACAGTGAACAGTGAATTATTTCTTATCACCAATTTCACTACAGGCACTATAATCCTGTCCTGCACCGATAGCTAATCTCCGTTGAGACCTGCCGCCGTGACCGAAATTTGATCTGGAGGACCACTCACCTACATCTATCCTCGATTGAAAATCAAAATACAAATGCATTATTACTCCTAAGACCGGCCACATACATATGGAATACCGTTTCGGGATTCCATTTCGTAATTTCGATTCGAGATTCCGAACGCAGCAAATTCATATAAAATCTATGACCCGTCACAACAACAAACGTACGGTAGTTTTAAACAGGATTCCGTATCCCTAAAAAAATCTCCCGTTCACATCACTCCACACGTAAACTATTATGTTCTTTATATAATTAAAAACTCTGATCTGGAAACCTTTTGTTATTGAGTTTTACATATTTTCCTGGAGGCTTACGTATTTGTTATTTATTTTATCGAGCCTAGACAACAAATAGCGAGTACTACGTTATTCTCTCATGACTGGGTCGCCTTTTCGCAAGCGTCGTTATGTTTATTGAATGGTTCAGCTAAAAGCTAAACTTTGTCCACGTTGTCTTAAGCGTAACGTTCTGTAAGTCTGCTATAGAATCTATACAAATAAATAAAATTGAAGTGTCCGTTTCTAATGTCAAAATAACAGCTTTTACTAATGCATATAAAAGTATACACGGTACTTATAAGAAAAAACAATTTTTAAATTTTTTGTCTTTTTGTATGTCTGTCTGTCTGTCTGTTTGTACCGGCTAATCTCCGAAATGGCTGGACCAATTTTGATAGGACTTTCACTGGCAGATAGCTGATTATGGAATAATTTAAGTTTTTATGTTAGAAGAAAGAATTAAGATTTCGCGCAAATTAATTAAAACCCATGAAATCCAAACGTAATAAGTTCTATGCGGACGAAGTCGCCGGCAACAACTAGCTTAGAATATATTAGCTAAGTATATTTATATTTTTATTTTTTATTACATATATTATTTATCCTTTCACAAACAAACCTTTTTTATTTGCTTAGCAAAAATGTTTGAAATTTTCCTTTTAACTTCATTATATATATACTACTATAGTGCATACTTTTTACATTTCCAAAAATAGCTGCGTGGACACATGACTAATAAAAAAATACCACTATAAAGTTAAACTTCACAAATGTCGAAAAAATGTTGTTGCATACCCCCCATTATTATCGGAAGACCTATCCTACTACACCCCATAAGACGGAATAGACGAGTAAAAAAAAAATCATCCTCCCTTCCCTTGTCCCCAAAATAAAAATGTTTTTCAAGTTTTTATTTGTTTTGTAGGCGAGATTAATATATCCTATAAGAATCCCAAATCACAGATTTGTAGCACCTGGAGTCTCTGAGTAAAACCACGGACGGACCGACGGACGGACATGGCGAAACTATACGGAATCCTTGTTTTTTAACTACGGAACCCTAAAACTTATCAACATAATACATAAGCAGAAATATTTAAGAAATTTAGCCACTGAAAGAAGAAAATTAGATAATGATCAGACACCGTTCTCTCAAAGGCAGCAACAGAAGTCAGTTTCCTTCAGCGGTGGAAGAGTGAGACATAGATTTGGTGCGGCAATAAAAAACAAAAATAATAGTTCCCTTAGGAAGAAAGCAGGTTACGTTCGTGAGAAGAATCGAAATAATGAAACTTGAATTTCAGATGTTTGGGCGAACATGAATCGTATAGGAATAGGACTGAAAATGCAGGAATACATGTAATAAAATTACAGGAAAATATATACAGAATACCAGCTTAAAATAGAGAGCCGGAAAGCCGTTAGAAATATGACATTCCACCTTATTCATTAGGAGTGACAGCTAATCTCCATAGAGGTATATGGACTACAGTATCCACTTACCATCATGACTGTGTGTTTCACCCTTACTTTAATTCCTATAAAAATGGCTCTATATATGCTACAACTTCCGACTTAGAAAAGGAAATAAAATAATTATTTTTAATACAACCCAAACGCATGTAAATTTTAAATGTAAATAGCAATATCAATATATTTAAAAAATGTATTACTTCGACTTCGAAAAGGAGCCGGTACTCAATACGACTGTTTTTTTTTTATGTGTGTTACCTCATAACTTTTTACTGGTTGAACAAATTTCGATGATTCTTTTTTTAATTGAAAGCTGGTGCTTCACATGTGGTGCCATATAAATTTGATCAAGGTCTGACCAATAGTTTTTGAGTTATTCTTTATAACTTATATTAAAGTCGGTTGTACAAATTTTTTAATTTTAAATTATGTTTCCCAAGATGCCTTCCATCTAGGCACAAAAAATGGTATTTTAATGAAAAATCATCTAAAAATAGCTCCAAAATATCTCATTTCTAAGTTTCTCTTTAATTTGTTTCGAGTCTTGTCTATTATATTTACGGGATTAACAAGTTGATAAATAAAACAAGAAAATAAACGATAGTCTTTATTATTATAAGTGTTTAGCTTAACAACAATATACAGCATTGAAATCAACATTTTATAATATATAAAATAGAAGTATTTAGGAATGATAACGTATTAAGAAATCAAAAATATAATATAGGCCTAACGAATCACAATAATACAATCTCTTAAATTTAAACGTATCAATTTAATCGGTGAGTTTGAGAGAAAGCCTCTTGACGAAATACAAAAGTAGAAATAAAACGTTGAAACTCTAAATATTTTACATAAGGCACGTTGTTGGAAGTCATATAATTACGCTTTAACATTAAATACATTTATAAAAGCGGTATGTACTTTATTAAACATTTTCAAATAAAATGCACATTAAGTTAAATACTACAATAAAATAGCCACTATTTTATAGTTTTTATTTCATATTATTTTCATTTAATATTTCATGAGTTTCAACCTTAATTTTTATTTATACATGCGAATACTCTCATTCATTCTCGTCTAATATAATTATGTGTCAATAACAAAAAAGGCAAAATATTAAAATGTAATTTTTTTTACCCTTTAATAGTTTGGCCTGATGGTTTTTTTCTTTTCAAATAAGAATGCTAGAAGTTAATATAAACAATTAAAAACATCAGTACGAAAAAATTAAGTGTTGTTCTAAATCGGATGCATTAAGTCTTCGATAAAATCTCATTTTCATTCTGAAACACTACTGACACTGCCGGTAAGTTTTATTCCTTTAAAACTGCTTTTAGATAAAAACATGTCATATTAGTAATTAATAAAATACATCAATTATAAAAATATAATACAATACCTACAAACAATATAAACACTTGAGACCAATGCAATTTCTAATTCAATTAGGAACTGTATACATACAAAAACGTTAATAGCAAAAAACAGTAAAAAAATAATTTGGGAGATAATTTTATTTATTTTAAACTAGCGATCCGAGTCCGTTAGTGTCGAGTAGAGTTAGAGTAGAGTTTGGCGAGACTAACGGACAGCAATTGATTTTTATATATGGAGATTAAACTGGAACTAGATCTTGAAAACGAGGTACAGTAACTGTTTACAGAATAACATAACCAAAAATGATAACTAAAAATAGATCCAATGAAAAATGAACTATGAAAAATTAAATATGTATATATATATATAATTTTAAAAAAAACTAGTAAAACTAATACATAATATATAATATTAGTTACTATTAACATATATGTATGTATATTGTAGATAAAAACCGAACGAACGGAATTACATAAACAAATTAATACAAACATACTGAAAGACAGCACAACATCCAACAATAGTTATTGTCCTAATACAAGCATATAAAAATACAAAATACTCGCCACATCTAACATAATGAACTCAACATGAGTCAATAAAAACGTTGAAAATCATTCAACGGTCCTTAAAAATTCCTTGTAAAATATACACTACATTTTAATAAGTAATATAAAAATCTGTTTTTAATTATATATCTATATGCACTGGAAAGGCACCGTAGTTTGTACTTCTTAAATAGAGATTATGTGAAAATATTTCCTCAAAACTAAGCACAGGATAACTATTATTTACATGGCACTATTATTTGTTCTCTGTTTTAAACATATCATTTTTAAAATACATTTAAAATATATTTCTTTTTATTTTACTACATAAAAACTATATATTACAATCTTAGTTACCATGGCACTGGACAAACTAACACTAAGATTGTCTTACTTAATTCGCTAAAACGACAAATCACAAATATCTCATAATACTAAGCTCAAACGCCACATCAATTAACACTGACAAATAAAAGAAATTGTATTGTTAAGTAGTTAATTTTCAAATAAAATCATAGATGCAAACCGACTAGATGTTCACTTCCATTATTTTTTAATACAATTATTTAAAATCAATTTTCTGGTTTGCTTAATACAAAATTTCATTGACGCTAATGAGTTTCGCCGTTCGACCAATTATCACTCAAGTATAACCACACCCTTACTCTCAACCATTTTATGGGCAAAAGTTTTAATCGCCGCGCGCAACCAAAAGCCAAATTGATTTTCTATGCTTTTAGTATATAATGTATAATACCAAAATCAGGATTTGCGTTCGACCAACAGTCACTCAAGTACAACTTCACCCTTGCTCTGAATCATTTTTTGTAAAAAAAAAAAGTTTTAATCGTTGCGTTCAATAGAACTTGTCTTCTTCAATGTCTAAGTTAGTCTTGTTGTTAGGTTGGTTGGAATGTCGCCTTAACGTGCCCATAGAGTCGTATTCGTTGGCGATGGCTTTGGGGTACAGCTTCGGTGTGGCTAAAGCAGTGTTGTGGTTGTTTGCGTTGGAAATGTTATTGCTTTTAGACAGCAGGATGCCACTGGAGCCACCAATACCCGTGAAAGACGGCTGCCGTTTTGCTTTTCGGGGCTGTTATAAAAATGGTATCAAAATATAATTATTTTTCTATAAAAATTAAGTGTATTTAAGAAAGATACAAAGCAAAGGCTATGAAGTATTCACTCCAAGAGGCATCTGTAGCCTCCTTTGTAAGTTGGGTTGAAAAATTGATGGTTTAGGGATCCATGCATTACAATTGCACATACCACCAAGTGGACAACGAATTTGCTTATCACTGTCATAAAATACTTACATACTTATCCATGTGTGGATGTGGATGTGGATGTGTGGCTTCCCCGTGGCTGTTTAACTTATTTATGGACAGTTGTTTGCAAACTTTGAAAGTTGAAGAATGTGGGTTGAGAATGGGTGAGTCAACCGTCAAATGCCTTTTGTACGCCGATGATCAAGTCATATTTGCATCATCGGCGGCCGAGTTGCAAATGATGGTTACTTTAATGAATTGGTCATTGAAAGAAAGGGGTATGAAAGTGAACGCAAGTAAGACGAAAGTGATGGTTTTTGAAAGAGAAGAAAGTAAAACTTTATGTGAAATAAGAATAGAAGGGGAGTTGATTGAGCAAGTGGATGAATTTGTATATTTGGGATGTTTATTTAGCAGGGATGGTAGATATGATAAGGATATAGAACGACGAGTGAACGCAGGAAATAGAGTGAATGGGGCTCTACACGCTATTATGAGGAGTCAGAATGTGTCAACTAAGGCACGTATGGCAATTCATAATGCTGTGTTAGTCCCTACTTTAATGTATGGTAGTGAAAGTTGGGTCTGGCAGAAGAAGCATGAGAGTAGAATAAATGCTGTAGAAATGCGTTCCTTAAGGAGTATGCTAGGGCTGAATCTGAATGACAGGGTGAGAAATAGTGTGATAAGAGAAAAGTGTGGTCTGCAAGATGACGTTGTGACAAGGATTAAGAAAGGAATGCTTCGGTGGTTTGGTCATGTAGAAAGAATGAACGAGGAAAGAGTGACAAAGCAAATTTATGTTGCGGAAGTGAACGGCAGGGTCGGGAAGGGACGCCCTAGACGAAGGTTTATCGACCAAATCGGCGATACATTAAAAATGGGCCAGATTAGGAGTACCCATAACCGACGAGCGTGTATGCGTAGATATATGGATGTAAAAGAGGCGAGAGAGGTGTGTCAGGATCGCGCCAAATGGAAGTCCGTAGTCTCTGCCTATCCCTCTGGGTGACAGGCGTGAGTGTTATGTGTATGTATGTGTGTACTTATCCAGAGCAATGATAGGGAACAACATCTGAAAAGGCTTGAGTGACCAAATACTGTGATTGTCGGTGCACTTACAAGAATGGCAAAATTAGCTGATATAATAATTTTTACACGTAATACAGTATACAAAGTATCTGCCTGATTTCTTAATTGGTTGGCATAAAAGTGAAAAAATCGTTTTATTGTAAATATATATGAAAACTCCTAGAGCCGCTTCTCCCCTTTACGTAGTAGAGCCATGCTGCAGCTACATTATGGTTACACGAATAGGTCGGGCTCGAGCGAGGAACGACCACGCTACAGAAAACCGTTGTTTCGTATGGCGAGTGTAAGAGAACCGGACACCCTTTTTACTGGATATGAGGCATTGTGTACTTGATTGTTACTTGATTATTCTAAAAAAACTTAACTTTATGACGCTGTTACCACAAATGTAAAGTATCGTATGCCGCCTCGGGTGATGTCGACAACACCGTGTCGCAGACTTCAACAAGGCAGAAGTAGTAGTGGGCAAATCAAATTGTATATAAATACAATATCTATATATCTGTACAATACCCAATATCTATATAACGGGGCAACAGACTATGTATCAGAAACCGCTCCAATACAGCGTCACTTTACAAAACATATAACATTATACACGAAGAAATAATAATGACGCAATATATCTATGATATGTTACACAATTCGAAATTTGAAACGAACCATTTTCGCCCGAAAGTATAAGAAATATTTATTAAATTTGAATAAAACAAATATACCTAAATATATATTAACTGATACGAAATACAAATATGTATTAACCTATCCATTAGATTTCAAACCAAATCCATTAGAAATCACGTATCACCGTGTAGCGTGTAGTACTGAATACTGACTTTATTACAGTTACAGAATCAACCGATATATTATATATATGTTGATATTGATGATGATTGATTCGATATCAGATATTCAAATCAAATACATATATACTATTTGATATAGGGTAAGAGTGATATTACATGCCTAGTCAGAAGAAGTATTGCTGACGCACCGATCAATGAGAAAAAGTCTTTTATTTCTGACTTTGCCCACAGCATCCTATTGCCATCAGAACGACTGTATGCTTGTTATCATACTATTATAAATATATACATAAATGTATAAATAAAGGAAAACCTTTGAGAACACTTACTACTTCCTTCAAAGGCACGGTCACGTAGCTGTTTTGCTTGGCGGTGATATAGTGTGGACTCGACGGTACGCGAGGCTGTTTCCGCCAGGGAAGGTTTCCTCCGCGTCTCTGACAGTATATCACACCGGCCAAGCATACAAGGCAACCTATAACAAAATGAAAATATTGCTAGTGTGTTTATCTGTAAGATGTATTTTTAGTACAGAAAAACGTCAGTGCTAAACCTATGTGACATCCGAAAACAATGAAAATATAACCTATGTATATATATATGTATATTATATTTATAAAGGATTTTTTGTAATACTTTATTATTCTACGTATTTCATATTTAGACAATATAACTTATAACGCAATGTTATTCAACTTAAATGCACGTATCACATTTGCATACTGCATAATATCTCACTATAACCTGACCTGCGCTGATTGCGAGCGAACGCCTAAGTACCCTTTGTAGACTTTTATTTGCGTTAATACATGTAAAAGAGGTACTCCTGGATTAACACTACAAAGTGAAAATAAATTTAAAAAAAACGTTTTCAAATGATGTACGTAATTTTCTCAACCTAGCTACCTATACCTATTAATAATAGTTCCTTAAAAAGTTTCTTCATTAACTATTTTTAATGACATCCTATTAACTGGAGGAAATAATTTGCACCTCTCACCCTGTGGTAAGATTTTAGATGAAATTAATTTATTTATAAATTAATGTATGGTTTACTTTTATATACTATGAATTTAAAATTATCTGTAGTGTTTTAGTTTAAACACTTACGATTCTAAAAATAATACCAACAAAATATTAAATAATAAATTATTAAGTTCATAAGTTTAGATCTTTTTAATTTTAAATTTTTATAATATTTTGAATTTTTTTTTATAAAAAAAAAATGTGGTCAAGTTGTGCCTTAACCATTTTATGTGTTCCATCCTTGTCAAGGGGAGTGCTAACCGTCTCTCCTTTCAATAGACACAGCAAAACTGATTCTGTTAATGTTTATATACTTATCAACTAAAAATTCTTAATAGTGTGATTTAGATATTTTTAATTAAATTGTATCATATTTAGTTTAACATGATAAAAACGTTGTAAAACAAACAATGCATAATGATTTCTAACAATTTGCATAAAATTTTAAAAATATTTGTGTATATTATGTTCAAAATTAAAAATAATGTAAATTTAGTATAATGCAATCCTTACGGCGCCATCTATTGGTTAAATATTCAAACAAATAAAAAATACGTTTTCATTCGTTTTAATATTCCCGGTGTTTTAATAACTTTTATGTAACATTACACAAATGTTACATAAAAGTATTGGTTTTCATTTACAATTATTGTTCAATGAGTTATTATAAGTATACCCAACAAATATCAAACAACGCCATCTACCAATGCCACCGAGAAGGAAAGGAATTATTAACAACAAAAATCTTAGACAACGCCATCTATCAGCACCACTATGTAAACAAATGCAACATAAGATTTATGGGGACCATAAAAATATGGGTATTTTCAGTTTGCGAATTCGCACATAAACAAAAAAGGGCAGTAAAAGGGCTGCTGAAGCAGCTAGTTTAAATCCTTTTCTTTCCTTTCTAGGTAATAAAGCTACACAGAAATGTGTCTACATAAATTGAATAAAAATTTGTTAAAAAATTTATTTTACCCATAACAAATGCCGCCACTACACAGCCTACAATAGCTCCAATGCCCAGCGAATCGTTGCCGGCTGTTGTCACGAATGACGCCATCTCCACATTCTGGCTGTATGCTGGCATTGCATACAATTCTGTAAGAAAAACAAACAGGAATATAGATCAGTTAAAATACTCTTTTGGAGTAGACACCGTAGGAAACATATCGATGTGATCATCTTCGTTAAAACTTCGGAATGCATTTATTGTCCTTAATTTATTATTATTTTCAATTTGTCTGAGTCTAATTTGTCTTTTATACATGGTAGAGCCATGTTATAGCTGATATCTAGTATAGTTGTAGCACGAATGGGTCGGCTCGACGGCGGAGGATCCACGCTCTCACAGTATACCAGCGTAAAATAGCAGCTTAACACTGCTGTGTTTCGTATAGTGAGTGTAGATACCCTTTTTACTGGGAACGAGGCATTCCATGTTAGTCCTCATGGGTGACAATGCATCTGCATTTTGATTTGTAATCGAGGATAGATGTAAGATGTCTATGGGCCACAGCAACCACTTACCATCAGGTGGACTGTGTGCTCGTTTGTCACCCTTATCCTATAAAAAAAGTTTTGTTTTATCCACCAAGTAAATTTTAATTGTTAATTTCAATATTCTCTATAAACACAATTATAGCTTTTTTATGCAATGCGCTACAGGAATGCACACTATTTTGCATTTTTCTAGCGCTGGAGCTTCGTCGGCCAAACGCTATGATGTACCGCATGTATGTGACGTTGTTATTTGAGAAAAACGGAAAGAGCTGGGGTATTTCCCTTAAACATGACAAATTTTATATATTCACATCAATACAAATAAATAAAATTGAAGTGTCTGTTTGTAACGTCAAAATTACAGTTTTTTACTAAATGCATATGAAAGTAAATACGGTACTTATAACTAAAATACAATTTTTAAAATTTTTGTCTGTCTGTTTGTTCCGGCTAATCTCCGAAACGGCTGGACCGATTTTGACGGGATTTTCACTGACAGATAGCTGATTACAAGGAGTAACTTAGGCTACTTTTATTTTAGAAAAAGAATTAGGATTCCGCGCAAAAACATCAACACCCTAACACGCGAGCGAAATCGCGGGGAACAGCTAGTTTTTATATAAAATTGATGTGACAAACGAACTGACAGTCCAACTACAGTAAGTGGCTACTGCAGCCGATGGACTACGGCGACCAAATTAAAACTGAGAAGGCTACAGGTAAGTTCTGAGGACTAAGATGGAATGCCTCACGGCCTGTATTATAATGGCTCTCGATACACTGCAGACTGGTATACATGCTGCTGCTTGACGGCAGTAATAGTTAAGAGGGTGGTTCCTACTCGGATCGACTCTTAGATAACATTATTTAATCTGTGCTCCTAGGCAAAATTTCCGGGTGGTTGAGCCACCTACAGTAATTAGTATTTTTTTGTATGTATCGCTGAGCAGTAGACCGATCACCATCATTACTACGATAGCGGCATCATCATTAATCACAGTGGAGTTAAAATTTTGGTATTTCTGATATTGAATATGTTTGAGAATTAGAAGCAAGCCATACAACCATTATTAGAATTTTGATCAGTTAAATTGCCTGTTTGTTTGAACACGTTTAATACGAAACCGACAGGGTCGGTTTAAACTCATTTATAAACATAACCCTAACTTTTGCTTCAATCCGTTGAGTACATAGTTTAATCCCGTAATCCTGTTAGCTTACGGCTTCTACTCGGAATTGTTTGTTCTTTGTGAATAACATAAAATCACGTAAAATAAATATCACGCATGCAAAGTTGCGAGCATTCGCTAATCTATAAATAAATTTAAATAAAATTGAAGTGTATGCCTGTCATATTGAAAACACTGGCTCCTATTCAGTTTAGCGGGTTAGACATAAATAACCATTTTTAATATTTTTGTTTGTCTATACGGGCTAATTTTCGGAATGGCTGAACCGATGGTGATATAACTTTACAAACAGAAAGGGCAATGCCAGGAGAGATCTAGAGTATATTTTATCTAAAAAACTTGAACGACAATTTTAAACAAAAATTTATAAATTACATGGCATTTGATTATCTATACAAATAAATAAAATTGAAGTGTCTGTTTGTAATGTCAAAATTACAGCTTTATATTAAACGCATATGAAATCATATATGGTACTAATAACAAAAATACAATTTTTAAAGTGTCTGTCTGTCCGTCTGTCTGTCTGTTTGTTCCAGCTAATCTCCGAAACGGCTGCACCGATTTTGACGGGATTTTCACTGTTATTATTGTTATTTATAATTAAAACCCCAAATAACACGCGGGCGAAGTCGCCGGGAACAGCTAGTCCTAAATAAATGTCGCCATTGATCGATCCTATCCAGGCGAAGCCGGGGTGAGTGGTTAGTATAAAATAAAATTCACCGTTGTCCAACTCAGTGTCGTCCCCGCAATGTGCGACCTGCAACTGTGCGCCAAGACAAGCGCCGGCTTCGCAACTGCGTTGTCGAAACCGCTCGCCCCCAGAACACTCCGACCACGTCCCCCAAGCGCCCCATCCGCTTTCCGATTCTGAAAATTATGACAACATTTCATTGACCATTCATTTAACAACAAACAAAGTTTTGTTTCTCTTTGAAAGAAAAAAAAACTTATATTATAAAGCTCTGAATAAAACTATTTTTATTGATTTTATCGAGTTTGATTTTAACTTGTTTTTAAATTACCAACGTTAGTGGTTTCGTTATTTACAGCACCCATGGTGAATACGACGTTAAAATCCAGATGCCACATTTAACTCGGGCTACATTCAGCTTTTAAATATTATATAATAATTCTTGGTTCGACCAACGCAGAACGAACTTACACCACCACCACTACCGAGCAGTCTTGTTGTGATATCTTTAGGTTTGATTTATTTTTATAAGTTATGGAATCTCAATCAGATGGTATAGTATATTGTTGATTGCAAACAATATTTAATACTTAGAGGTTATAATTTCTCACAGAATATCAACGTCAGTTAGCAGCTTAATTTTGTGTTTTGTATGGTGAATGTAGAGAACCGAGGATTTTTAATGGTGATGAGGTACCTTAGACTTCCTGGATGTCTACACATCTGATTTTTTATTCTTAATCGATAATAGATAGGAGTCTATGGGCCAAAGCACAAATTTACTATGACTTGGACTATGTGCTCGCTTGCCACCCTTATTCCAGAAAAACAAACCTAAGAGCATAGAGCATAAATACCTGCGCAATTGTTTACGCAGACGCGACGCTCAAGTGCGGCACCGGCGTCCGCACAGCCCTCGGCCGACAGACACATCCGAGTGCGGGTTCGATGCCCCGTGGCGCCCGATGAACAGTCCCCGCTACAGTCACTCCAATCGCTCCAGCAGGACCATTCACCTGCAAGTCAAACTAATAAATTAAATTCAACGCCTTTAAGAACTTAAAAATTGGTAAAAAGTTTATGAACCTTAAAATTATCTTAATTCGGATAATTGTTATGAAATTATTAAATAATAAACCTATGAAATGGCTATGTACGTTACGCACTATTTTCGACAATTGTGAACCCACTTTGATGCTTCTTTTATATTTCATAGGTCATACTTTAGGGGAGGTCTCATATAAATTTAACGACTGTGGTGCTCGCTCTTTGAGGACATTAAACAAAAAAAATTAGAGACCGGTCAGGTGCAGATGTGTGCATTGCAGGCACGGAGTACTCGTATGTTAGCAACTGCGCTACCAGAGTAAATTTAAAAAAAGACGGAGCGTGCGTGTTGTACGCGAGGGGAATGGCGGGTGCAATGCGCTCGCTTCAACATCTTTATAATATTAATACGTGAACGGAAAAAATTGTACCCCTTTGCGGAAGAAATGTGAGATTTGGAATAGATAAAGTTTGTATGGAAAAGGGGTGCAGAAAGCTAAAATGTATATATGTATAACGTGTTACAAATACATTAAATAAAATTTGACCCCTTAGGAGTGTAATGAGAACTTTTTGCCCCTATTCAACCATGGCCCCCATGACATCCTCTACATGATAGGCTATTCAAACTGACTAGGCCTAAAGTTCGAGTCACCCCCCAACTCATTTCTAGTCTTTACTTCCAAATATTTTGTTACAGAAACTTCTTCACAATATGCCGCCGATGCGTCACATTGACAAGTTCCAGGCAGGTATTGACGACAGTTAAGCTCAACAGATAATCGATGATGACAGTAAGTTCTTAAGGCACCTAAGCGGACAAAAACTTGAGATTTACATCAACATCGGAGCATTTGTTTCGTCATTTCCACTAATAGTTTAGATGTGCAGACACTTAATACGTAAAATCGCATCATTTGTCGTATTCTAACCGTTATATAACCGCTTAGCCCCTCGTGTGCCCGACCATATTATGTTTTTCCGCGTCATGTATCAGGGGCCGTTCGGGAGGTCGCGCGATACCGGTAGGCGCTTATGTAACCAATGATATCTTTTTAATTTTGTATGCCAGCTATGTATAAATCTTATAATAAATATTAAATTATTTTATTATAATACTATCAATCTCGGTATAAATATGTATCGACGTAATTTTGCCGGTTTCTTGTACATAAAGTGTAAGGTTTATGAAATTAAGCCATTATATAAAAAGGTATCTGTAATAATACAACATTATATCAAAAGAGATTAAGAAATTACACCCCTTCAATACATTTTTTTTTTCACACCATAAAGTTTTTAATATCCTCCTTTTACGCGGCAAAACAAAAATCGGTTAAAACATTCGAAAATGTTCAATTCGAAACCGTTTGGAAACGTTACATTACGGCCTCGTGTTTAATCTATGTTGCTTAAAGATTAAAACAGCGTTTCATATTTGAACAACATAGATTAAAGACAAGGCGTATTTAATTGCCAAATGGGCACACGGAGTGGGCTGACACACGGGCATGCATAAGCTGTCAGTTACCTGCGGACGTCATGACAAGTGAGGGGCGCTTAAACACAACCCACAATCCGTTGATGCTCAAGTTCTCACCAAAACTCCGCGCAGTATGTTGACGGCTGTATGCGTGTGCTCGTCATAAAAAATTCGAAGAAACAGACGTGTGCAAGCGCATGTTGTAGGCGCAGAGCAGGGTTTTGGCGGGAACTTGAACGGCGGTGGTTTGTTGCTCCTGTATTATTGTTTAAATAATGGTTTGAAGTGGATTTTGATATGTAAAAGTGTTGCGATTTTGTGTATTAAGTGTCTGCGCATGTGAGCTATTAGTGGAAACGGTGAAAGAAGTGCTTTGATAGTGATTTGATTCTCAAGATAAAGGTGTCTGTCTGCTTAGGCGCCTTGACATACCATCGCCAACTGTCAGCTGTCTGCAGGCTCAAGTTGCCATCAAAATCTCCCAAGGGCTGCACAATGTGACGCATCAAGATATTGTGAAGCAGTGTATGAAAAATAATTATACAGGCTCAGAAGGGCTAGAACCCAGAGCCGTGAAGCCAGTTATAAAAAAAACAGGCGCGGAGCATATCGGTGACCGCATGCGCACGGTTGTCATAAAAACAATAAAAAAAGATAACTGACCCGTCTATGTGCATGTAGCATGCGCACAGCATGTCGGTGGCAGCATGAGTTAGCTTCAGCCAAAAAAAAAAAGAAAGTAAGTAACAAGAGACCTGTGCAGGCGTGCGTGTTGCAGGCGCGCAGCATGTCGGGCGCGCCGGCGCAGGGCGGGCGGACGCAGCGGCGCGCGCGCGCCTGCTGGCCGCCGCCGCACGGCGCCGAGCACGCGCCCCACGCACCCCACGCGCCCCACCCCGCCTCCTGCACCGCGCCCCCCGCGCCCGCACCCGCGCCCGCCGGCGAGCTGCTGCATGCGCCCCCGGCGCTGCAGTACCGCTCCTCCTCGCGCGCCACAGACAGCTGCACACGGACACCACCACGTTACTTATTAACCCATTCGCTACCCTGTGTACTACAAATAGTACATTACTATTGTCTTACTATTATTGTCTAAAATCGGACAGTGAAAGTATTAAGCAAACACTTCTATGTATACTACTAGACCACCAATGAGTGGTAGAAGCTCACGACTTTTTCTGCCACTAGAACGGCGCCACTGGCATAAGATGTGATATTAATTGACAGATAACATGACGGATGAAGATAATTTGCTAGAAAAGTGTAGAGATTCATCTTTCTTATCTCTATATTCAAAATCAATTGCTCTCCGTTACTCTCGCTAAAACTCAAAAACGGCTCGACCAATTTTGATGAAATTTTTTGTTTATATGAGTGGACCCCTAAAAGGTTTAGATTTACAATTGGACCCGGTACGTAACGCTGTTGTTCGTGCGAAGCCGGACGAGTCACTAATATTTTATATAAATAAGATTAGAAATGGATAAACTAGTATAAACATTTAAAGAACATAGAACTGAGGCATTGTTTTATGTACATTATACATACACTAGAAACCGAAAAACTTAAAACTATAACGCAACTTTTTAATGATGATAACACTGTATGATGACGGCTCCGTGGCACAGTGGCTTAACAATCAGTTGTTGTGCTGGGGGCCGCGGGTTCGAATCCCGCACGGAACAAGTATTTGTATGGCCTACAAATAATTGTTGCGGGTCTGGATGTTTGTCCTTGTGCAATTTATGTTTGTAAACTGCCTCCACGACACAGGTGAAAATCTTAGTGTGGGGGTAACGTTATTTAAAAAAATAAAAGAAAAAAAATAATACTACGTAAGAAATAACTTCACTTTAGTTCCCCACTACATCTGGTGAGCTCTCATTTAGAACAAATAAAGAATACAAATACAAATATGAAATAAAGTTACGTGCGCACATAAATAATAATATCGTTTTGTTAGTCACATAAAAAAAATCTGTATTAAATTGACTAAAACAACGTCCTCGTTTATACTCCTCACGAGTATGATACTCTCCTTCAGAATACTTGCCAAGACTTATTGAACTAGAAACAACACTGTATTTCTCATTAAAGTAAACAATTTAAAATTTAAAATTTTGTACAGCCGAATTCAATATGTTATTAAGAATAACTCAAAAACGATTGGTCTGACCTTGGTCAAATCCATATGGGACCACACGAGAAGTACCAGCTTTCAAATAAAAAAAGAATCATCGAAATTGGTTCACCCAGTAAATAGTTATGAGGTAACACACATAAAAACATACTGTTGAATTGAGTACCGTCTCCTTTTTGGAAGTTGGCGGAAAATATTCTACTCACTTTAATTTGTTCTGGTGTTGGTGCCTTGCAAAGAAATTTGAATCGCTTCTCAGTGTAGCTGCCATCAGAAGTATTACCTGCAACAAAATGCAAATGTGACTGAAAATTTTGTTCTGGAGATAATACTTTTTTTTTTCCAATAATATAGTAAAGTCAATTTAATCTACTATTATAATGAGTAGCTGATACAACCCAAGAATTAGTAAACTGTTGTCAGCAGGGAAATCGTACAGTGCGTACAACCGACTTGTACATTAAAACACATTATTTTATACGTTTAAAATCTAATTCATTTTCTTTTGGGTAAATGCAATGCAATTAAGAATGAATAAACAAAGAAACGGATAACTGGTGGAGAAAAACAATTTTAACCTGAGCCGTACATGTAGCACTAGGGAGAAACAAAATACAGATGCGCTGTCACCCGTGAGGTATAAGATGGAATGCTTCGCTTTCAGTAAAAAAGGTCTCGGGTTCTCTACCATACGAAACACAGCGGCATTAAGTTGCTATTTTACGCTGGTGTCCCGTGAGAGCGTGGTCCTTCCCGGGTCGAGCCGACCCATTCGTGCTACTACTATAATATAACTGCAGCATTTTTCTACCATACGTTCGTCATTTATTGGAATAAAGCTAAAAAAAATAATTTTCGTAAGATTGAGTAGACTTACCGGGTATGTGTACCCAAGGCGTCCATGCGGTGGCCTTCCTGAGCTCGCAGGGGCGCAGGTCGCAGGGCTGGCGCTCGCTGCGGGCGCCCGCGCAGTCGGCGCCGCCGTGGCGCGGCGCGGGCTCCGTGCACGCGCGCTTCCGCTCCCGCGTGCCGGCGCCGGCGCCGCACCCCGCGCCCGTGCAAGCGGACCACGCGCTCCACGACGTCCAGCCGCCGTCCACTGGTGCGAGGTTGGGATCTGTTGAGTATATTTATTATTAATATTATTATTCAAAATATATTCAAGTAAAAGTGACCAATAAACAACGTATCCTAAAAGGCTTTAATTATCTCACTTCTGAACACAGTCCTCTCATTATTGAGATTTATTTATCGTTATTTACGTTGATTAACTTCACATAATTTTTATATCAATTTCATACTTAATAACGTATAGTCCAAAAAATAAATGATAACAGGTTTCTTCACGATGCTTTTTTCCGAGTTGACCTATGGCAAATCAGCTCTCAAACAATTATAACGGCGAACGGACGCACGTCTCGGTGTCTCTGAGGTCCTGCGAGTGGCCACACGGCCCGGTGACTGTGTGCTACCTGGTCAGGACGGCAGGTTGACGCATTAGAGGTCCTGCGAGTGGACGCACGGGGCGGTGTGTCTGTGTGCTAGCTGGGCAGGGCGGCAAGTTAGCGCAGTAAAGGTCCTGCGAGTGGACGCACGACGCGGTGTGTCTATGTGCTACCTGGGCAGGGCGGCAGGTTGGCGCGGTGTGTCTGTGTGCTACCTGGGCAAGGCGGCAAGTTGACGCGGTGTGTCTGTGTGCTACCTGGGCAGGGCGGCAGGTTGGCGCGGTGTGTCTGTGTGCTACCTGGACAGGGCGGCAGGGCGGCAGGTTGGCGCGGTGTGTCTGTGTGCTACCTGGGCAGGGCGGCAGGGCGGCAGGTTGGCGCGGTGTGTCTGTGTGCTACCTGGGCAGGGCGGCAGGTTGGCGCAGTAGAGGTCCTGCGAGTCGACGCCGACGCACACGCGGCCGCCGAAGCGCGGCTCGGGCGCGGAGCAGGTGCGGCGCCGCGACTTGACCGCGATGCCGCACGTCGCGCTGCACTCCGACCAGCCCGACCACGCCGACCAGCCGCCGTGCGTCGTGCAGTTCGCCACGGATATGCTCGCGCCTGCCACAATTTTTTACTCATTTATCTAATTTGAAGCCAGCTGACTACTCTTAAAAAAAATTCCGGTTTAATTGATTATAATTAGTACTGCTATTTTTACTATCATTAACTGTAATAATTTTATTATTGCTATTTTGTAGGGGTAGCATCTTATCCTTTACTAATCTATCCAATATTATTTTGTGGGTGTCGTTGAGGCAAATGAGGGAAATTGTACAAAATAGGATAACCTGATAACAACTCCAAATAATAATACATTTACAGTTGATAATCCTTTTTCCAAACATAGCAACTGGAGCCAAAAATGTCCAGCAGTGGACTTTAGATAGCCTGTAATGAATTAATGAATGAAAAATAATAATAATTCTAATAGACAACTATGTTCTACCGACTTCAAAAAGAACTGAATTCGACTGTATGTTTTTTATGTGATTTCGATAATTGTTTTTTTTTTATTTGAAAACTGGTGCTACTCCTGTAGTTCCATGTAGGTTTGATCAAGGTCTGACCAACAGTTTTTGAGTTATTTCTTGATAATTTATATTGAAGATCGGTTCTACAAAATTTTATATTATTTAAGTTTCAACTTAATTACTTTAAAATTCATTGCAAATTTTGTGCCCAACAAACAAACAAACCAACAAACAAACAAACAAACAAACAGACAAACAAATAGGTAATTGCAAGATATAACTTCTAAGCTATTGTTAATGTGTTATGTCTCTAGCTCATCGGGAAGGGAATAACAGAACACAATAACAGAAGGTGAAATGAATAATATCATGGTAAATAAAATTTAGTGAACAAATAACAATTTTAAAAACGTGTGTATAACCCCATACCTTCGCAAGGTTGTCCTCCATTAGCCGGTTTCGGGTTGTCGCACCTCCTCGTCCGACACAAGCACATGTCCGGCTTGTCGTCTGCGTATGCAACGTGAGGTGTACCATCTTGCATGCATTGTTCCCATTCCGACCAGGATGACCACCCACCGTCCACTATAAACAATTATATTTTTATTTTTTACACAACTACTGCTTTAGGATGCCAAGGTATTTTACATATAATAGTCCAAGAGAGACGTGGTAGCTCAGATGGTTAGCGCTCGCTGTAAATTCCACTGTATGCGAGCTAACAGGGTTCGATCCCCGCCGGCACCTATGAAAGTTTCGATTGCAATTTTAAGTGCTGATTTACCACGTGCTTGGCGACGAAGGAAAACATCTTGAGGAAACCTGCATGTCTAAAAAATTTTTTCGAAGACATGTGAAGTTCGCAGCGCGGAAGACACTTCCTTGCCCTATAACCCCTTCAGAAATGAGGGGAGGCCTGTGACTAGCAGTGGGGCGTATATAGTATGTAACTTTAAATTTATATAATAGTCCAAGAGCACATTTCTAGTATGTTAGCCCATAGTCACATCTATCCTCGATTTAGAATATTTTCACATTCAAAAGTTTTTTTGTCAAGAAATTCCAAGCGTCAAAAAGTTAACGGTGTTTCATAACCGTGTCTCGGAAAAAACGTAAGGCCGTTGGTCCTGCTTCTGATGTCTCCGGTCCACATTTTATCCGGATTGCCGTTCCGACAGACTAAATAAGGTGCAGAGCGCCCACACACGGGCACTAGAATTCAATCCTGCGCAGATGGCTAGTCTCTGTTGGGACTAACCACCGTGTTCATAATTCAGTCTTAAGGACATTATTATTATATATTCGAACATTTTATTTCCTTTTTTATCATTGTTGTTAACACAGCATTCACTTATCATTAGATGGACTATGTGCCTCTCTCGTTTATTTCATAAATAGATGTGAAAGAAACGAGAGAGAGAGAGAGGTGTCAGAATTGTGTCTAATGGCAGTCCGTAATCTCTTCCTATTCCTCTGGGGGATAGTCGTGAGAGTATTCGTTAGTTTTTTTATACATTTTGCGTTGTTTATTTAAAAAAAATAGTTTAATATTTAAATGTTAGTAAACTTTTCCACCGTGGTAGCTCAGATGGTTGGCGCTCGATGTAAGTTTCACAGTACACGAGCAACCCGGGTTCGAACCCCGCCGGCACCAATGAAATTGTTAATTGCAATTTTAAGTGCTGATTTCTACGTGCTCGGCAGTGAAGGTAAACATTTTAAGGAAACCTGCATGTCTGAGAAATAAAAAACAAAATATTTCGAAGCCATGTGAAGTTCGCCAACGTGCATTGGGGTTAGCGCGGCGGATACTTCCTTGCCCTAAACAACCTCAGAAAATATGAGTAGGCCTGTGGCCAGCAGTGGGACGTGTATATAGGCTGTAACTTTTAAACTTTTCCACCACGAAAGCTCTCTTTCCGAAGAAAGTAACATCGACGGCACTAACCGGGAGTATCGACGGTGGGACAGACCGCGGTCGACTGTGCGAAGTACGCGTCGTGCAAGTGCGTGGACGCGCGGACGCAAATTTCGCGCGCGTCGTCCCAGCCACAGTGCGGATCCGTGGCACCCACACAACTCGGCCGACTTTTGTAGCGGCTGCAACGTTCGCCGCTGAGACGTAGCACGCTGGTATCACTTCCGATGTACAGCGACATCTGTGGAATAAACATAACTGTTAAAAATATTTGGATATTTGAAAATTTTAAGCATTCAATCTTAGTCCTCAGGGGTTACAACGAATGTGCGCTTTGATTTTTAATTAAGGATAGATGTAGATGTCTATGGGCCACAGTTTCCACTTACCATCAAGTAGACTGTGCTGGTCACCCTTATCCTATAAAAAATGCACATGGATGCAAAAATGTTTATAGGCTAATTAAAAAAGATGACTTTCGGTTCCAAGCAACATTTTGCTGATATACTTACGTCAATGTGTGTACCCCAGTAATGTGTTTTGTATATTCTGTGTATCATTAAAATCTATTACTTTATTTTATAATATGTATAATATATATTTACATCTAAGAATACCATACTATTACACAAAGGCACACGTTGCACCTAGGTGTGTGTAATCGGTGAGATGGAAGACAGCACTTAAAACGGTATGTAAAACACATACACACACATCGATCTTAACAACTACAAGATAAGTTGCAATGTCCACTGTCAAAATAAAATGTTTATCGGCGTATGAATAATAAAAACAACCATAATATAGCTGCAGCATGGCGCTACGTGGTAGAGCCATGCTGCAGCTATATTATGGTTGTAGCACGAATGGGTCGGCTCGACCGAGGAACGACCACGCCCTCACAGAAAACCAGCGTAAAATAGCAGCTTAACGCTGCTGTGTTTCGTATGGTGAGTGTAGAGAACCGGAGACCCTTTTTACTGGCAAAGAGGCATTCTATCTTAGTCCTCACGGGTGACAACGCATCTGCATCTTGAGTCTTTATTGAGGATAGATGTAGATTATATGGGTCACAGTAACCACTTACCATCAGGTGGACTGTGTGCTCGTTTGTCACCCAATCCTATAAAAAAAAGGAATAGTAAAAAGAAGCCGCGACCTTAAATTCACAAAGCGTTTTTTTGGAGCTTAATTAATCGCGATTTTTGTCGAAGTTTCACATTAAAAGAAAGGAATCTTGGAAAAAACAACGTCGACAGTAAATATTTTTTTTTGTACAATATACATTACACGTGTAATTCTTATTGAAAGTCATTTTTTACTTTACTACTGGTTCGAAAAAAAACCCTCTGTCCTGGGAAGAACCAGCAAGAAACCCAGCGGGACTTTTTTTAAATAAATTTTACAACATAAATGATTACGAACTATTTACAAAATTTATTTTAGAAACCGCTTGCAAGCGACCACCTCATTCCCAGGGGTTATTATCAACCATGTATTCATTTATACTATAATAACCCTTTTTATACAGTTTCAGCTTAATAAAACATTTGAACTTGGTAATAGAAAGAACCTGTACACTTTCCGGGACCTTGTTGTAATAGCGTATACATTGCCCCAAGAATGAATTACTGACTCTGTGGAGTCGAGATACTGGCATCACTAGCTTGTGTTTGTTCCTAGTGTTTACAGAATGTATATCACTTTTTTACTAAAACTATCTTTGTTTTTGTGAACATACATTAAATCGTAAATATACTGAGAGGCCAAAGTTAATATATTTATTTTTTTAAATTTATCTCTATAAGACTCTCTCGGTTTTAGATTGTAAATAGCTTTAATGGCGCTCTTCTGTAAAACAAAAATAGTTTCTGAATCAGCCGCATTTCCCCATAGCAAAATCCCATAAGACATTATGCTATGGAAATAACTGAAATAAACTAATCTAGCTGTCTCGACACTAGTGAGACCTCTAATCTTTTTTACAGCATAGGCTGCAAAACTTAATCTGCTTGCTAATTTGGATATATGGGGGCCCCACTGAAGCTTCGCGTCGAGAGTGATGCCAAGAAAAACAGTGGATACAACAGGGCTCAATTCATCCCCATTTAAAAACACATTGGTATTCAGATTTTTAACATTCATTTAAATTTAACACAATTAGTTTTATTTCCGTTCAAATGCAGATTATTAACGTTAAACCAATGCACTAATTTTGATATAGCATTATTCACTTCGTCACATTTAAATGATTGACGTTTAAGTTTAAAAATCAAGGAAGTATCATCAGCAAATAATACTATATCATCCCCTACAAGGTGAGGTAAGTCCTTAATATACACCAGAAACAGGAATGGGCCGAGAATCGAGCCCTGAGGGACACCCATTAGTACAGGTGACCCGGAAGAACTTTTACCATTGATAATAACCTTCTGCTTTCTATTACTTAAATATGAAATAATAAGTTTAAGCGCTGTGTTCTTGACACCATAGTACTGTAGCTTCCTGATTAATGTCTCATGGTGAACACAGTCGAAGGCCTTGGAAAGGTCACAAAATATACCCAAAGCATCTTCTGAATTCTCCCATGCACAAAAAATATGTTTAATAAGCTCAACTCCAGCGTCAGTTGTTGAGCGACCCCTTGTAAAACCGAATTGATTTTTATGTAGCAATTTATTAATATTAAAGAAACTTAACATCTGATCTAAAATAATTTTTTCAAAAATTTTACTAAATGTTGGTAGTACAGAAATTGGTCTAAAATTGGCGGGGTCTAATGTACTACCAGATTTAAATATAGGTATGACTTTACTATGTTTCATTAAATCAGGAAACACACCAGATTCGACGCTTATATTAAATATAGTGGCTAGATAAGGTGCTAATATATCTATTATAGATAAAATAACTTTAACGGAAATCCCCCATAAGTCTGCCGTTTTCTTAATATCAATAGTTTTAAAATATTTATAGATATCATTTGGCAGTACTCTATGGAATTTAAAAGTATTTGAACATGCCTTTACATTTTGTTTGAGCAATGATTCGGCGACAGTAGGAGAAGAATTTAATGATTTTGTTGTCAAAAAAGGAACGTCAGTAAAATGTTTCTCAAAAGCCATTAGCAACTTCTTGATCAGTATTCTATCCTATGATAGCATTGTGTAGAATAAGTGTGCCAGCAACCGTGAATTAGTATGATAACACGATAGCAGTTTCCTTGGGAAGCGGAAAAAATTACATCTACGAGTATTAAGGAACTCTGCGAAAAAAAAAACAAGTTTACGCGTTTTTTGATAAATACATAATTTTTTCATCTTAATTTGCATTTTCAGTCACACTGCATAGAACAATAATATATCCACGACATCAATTCTAATCTAATTATTAAAATATTGGTTGCTATCGGCGAGTAGATCAACAATTAATAACACTAAGATTCTTATAATAAACATAAAGGAAATCAGTGTTAAAAGAGACGTATTTTTACGTATAATATGTGTGCTTTGGTGGCAAGTTTTTGGGGGGTGCCTTCATGCTGTAGTGGAATTGTGATCTATCAATAACTGATTATACTTACGGTATCCTTCACGAATTGCATGGTCAGTATGTTAAGTCGCCCTTTGGCATCCTTCAATTTCCAGATTTCAACCAAACATGCCCCTTCTAGTTGAGGCAGTATGGCCAACTTTAAAACGTCGCTGTTCTGTGTCGCCACAAACACCACAAGCTGCTTGCCAACATTCTTCGTTTTTGTCACGTCGACTGTCACATGTGTGAATCTTTCCATTGTCATCTTGTACACGGGCTCGCCGGATATGGGCTGGACAGACTCGTACATGAGATGATATCTTTGAAATTCGATTGTTGGGTGGGTTCTGTTGAAGATAAAATATGATGAAGTATGAAGTGCAATTGTGATAACTGGCTGAAACTGAATTAAAAAATTAAATGCGGCATTCGACTCTGATTAGTATCGAAATTACAGTAACATGTTGTGTGTACAACTGTACAAAATTATACTTATTGTAATAATTAATTAAATATTTTTTTAATATTTAATAACTTCAAAAAGGAAAAATCAAAGATAGGCTTTAAGCAAAGAATAAGCTTTCTATTGCCATTAAGTAATTGGTGACTAACCTGGTATCAATAGCGCACCGGAAATGTTCCCTAGCCTCTCGAGAAGGGGACCGCGGTTCCCATATGGAAGTTGGCGAATCCTGAACTTTATAGGGGCCGTCAAACGCAGCGTTAATGTCCGACATGTTATATATACATACAGCGCTACCAGCGATGCTGTTCCTAAAAAAAGTTATAGAAAAACATTAAGCAAATAGATAATAGGGCTCCCTATATTTCTGTTTTTGTAGCCAAGCAACAGTACACCCACAGATGTGTTTCGGTTTGAATATTAGTAAAACACTTTGGAGTGTTTTTTTTTTATAGGATAAGGGTGACAAACGAGCACACAGTCCACCTGATGGTAAGTGGTTGCTGTGGCCCATAGACATCTACATTATCCTCGATTACGAATCAATATGCAAATGCGTTGTCACCCGTGAGGACTAAGATGGAATGCCTTGTTTCCAGTAAAAAGGGTCTCCGGTTCTCTACACTAACCATACGAAACACAGCAGCATTAAGCTGTTATTTTACGCTGGTATTCTGTGAGAGCGTGGTCCTTCCCCGGTCGAGCCGACCCATTCGTGCTACAACTTATAGCTGCAGCATTGCTCTACCACGTAAAAATATATATAATGCATTTGTGGCCTTAAGTTTGAAGTTGGTTGCAAGTGTCCATGGACTGCAATAGCCCTTTAACTGCGAACCATGAATACCTGTAACCATCATCCATTCAACCATCACGTCGACTGTAAGCTCGTTTATGACTAATGCTGAGTATTATAATTTCACGTATATTTATTTACTCATGCTGTGGTCTTTTGTTTTATAGCCTTTATTAAAGATTTATCACTAATTTCTAAATTCGCCTAAGTCTCTTTAAATATTAAAGCTCTTTGCTATAGATATAAATGACTATTAACGACGATTATAAACTCCAACGTAAATATACCTATTGACGACTAGAACTAATTCTAAAACTTATTTTTTTTAAATATATATTAAGAATCTAAATTTAGGCACTGAGGACTAAGATAGAATACTCCGTTACCAATAAAAAGGGACTATGGTTCTCTACACTCATCATACGAAAAACAGCAGCATTGAGCTGTTATTATACGCTACAAACTACAATCACCTCAATAAGGATTAGAAATTTACCCATTTATACTAATTGCCAGCAAAACATATTCCATAATCAAAATACATAATTATATTCAAATATATATTAAATATCTTAGTCTTTAACACATACGAAAATTATGTCTATACCTAGCGGGGTTAACCATTGTTGAATAAAATACTCACGTTGGAGTTGTGAAGGTTGCGACGAGAATCTTCTCTTGGGGCAAGTACTCCACGCCCTGAACTTCGTCGTAATAGAAAGGGATTTCACCGGGCACTGGACACTTGAGGCGAGCTTTTAAAAACGTGCTCCAATTTTCCTTCATTACTCTATGGCCACCAGAGTCATTTTTGCAAACGCGAGCTATCCGCGAATATATAGTCTGCAAAAAAGGTCTATAATGTTCAATCAATAAACCGAAAAAAAAACATTATTATAAACATAGACACTTTTGTCAAATTAAGTAATAAAAAAAGGAATGGATAAGCTACTAATAACAGTATTTAAGTTCTTTGAACACAACTCCTTCTGTCAAAACGCAACTCTCCATAGATTATAAGTTGTTGCAACTTTCCATGAAACTCGTCGAGGATATACCAGTAAATACAGACTTAAAAAGTAATAAAGTTACAGCTATGTCTTTCAATGCTTGGAACAGACTCTCTCATTTCTGAGAGGATTTTAGGGCAAGGAAATGTTCGTCACGCTACCCAGTAAGTGTTGGCGGACTTTATTTGTCTTTATTTTTTTTTCTTTAATTTCTCAGACATGCAGGTTTCCTTACGATGCTTTCCTTTCCTTCACCGCCGAGCACATGGTACATCAGCTGTAATGTGAGAGGTGTCAGATGAGGATGAGATGTCGTGTGAACTACAATACTTAGTCGCACAGCACTTAAAAATGCAATCAACAATTTCATTAGTGCCGGCAGGGATCAAACCCGGGTTTACCGTAGCTCTAAACTACTCCGGCTGGTTACTGGTTAGGTTACAGGTTACTTACGAAAATTGGCTTTAATTCATAAAATATTAAGGAGAAATGCTCAAGTTTTGCAACAAAACTAAATGCAGCAAATTTCTTATGTGAAAAGAAGATTTTGATGTATTTTATATCAAGTATGTGGCCGTGGTAGGAAAAGGGGAGATCTCTCTCCGGGCAAGGTGTTCCGCCCGGGGAGCGGTCATCGCTCCGAGTGGTAGTTCAGAGCTATTCTATAATATATACTTATTTTACTTCGGAACTTTGATAGCGTGATTTAGACATCGATGTATTTCGCTTGCGGCGCGACGACAGTGCCGCCACAAGTGATTACAAAAAATATAATCTACATGTAAATAATCTACTATAAAAATATTATTTTATAGTATAACTCACCTTCCCACAATTCAAATACTCGACAGCTACCTCTCTAAATACAAAGTATACGAAATAGTCATCCTCAAAGCTGCCAACAAACTGAGGCTCGTTGAGCCAGTTCAGGTCATACTGTGTTGTTCGTAGCATACCCGTGTCGTGGGAGGCAGAGCCGCGACTCCTATAGAAATAAAATTACACCTTATTAGGTTACATACAATTATTTAATATTTCGTCCATATGACTGTAATGATTTATGTTGGCTACCGTCTCATCACACTGCGGGAGAGTGTCCACTCTCACCAGGTCTCATGATATTGAATGAAATGTTGTATACCTAAAGATAATGTTTTTTTTTCAAGTTTATCTAGATAGGTGTCATCCCTTAGAAAATTATATTTATTAATTAAGTAAAAAAAATCCATCCCTAATGATTGCGAAAATTTTAAAATTGTAATAATTTATCTAGGTATCTATTTACACGACATTGAAGTTGTGATATACATACATACATACATACATAAACACTCACGCCTGTCACCCAGAGGGGTAGGCAGAGACTACAGACTTCCATTTGGCGCGATCCTGACACACCTCTCTCGCCTCTTTTACATCCATATATCTACGCATACACGCTCGTCGGTTAAGGGTACTCCTAATCTGGCACATTTTTAATGTATCGCCGATTTGGTCGATAAACCTTCATCTAGGGCGTCCCTTCCCGACCCTGCCGTTCACTTCTGCAACATAAATTTGCTTTGTCACACTTTCCTCGTTCATTCTTTCTACATGACCAAACCACCGAAGCATTCCTTTCTTAATCCTTGTCACAACGTCATCTTGCAAACCACACTTTTCTCTTATCACACTATTTCTCACCCTGTCATTCAGATTCAGCCCTAGCATACTCCTTAAGGAACGCATTTCTACAGCAATTAGTTGTGATATTACCTAAGATTACTCAAAATAGTTAAAAAAATACTTTTAATACCGGTGCTAAGACTTAGTGTAAAAGAAAAGATAAAGCCCCGAAATCAAAATGATTGTACATTCTTTTTTTGTTATTTGAAGTCGGCCTTTTCTTTTTATATAAGTTTTTTTTCTGATTTGCAGCGTTTGATTTAAATAACTGGACAATGTTATGTAATAGTTGTAATTTGTTCTAGAAAAAAATAATTCATCTTGTTCTTCTTCTTCTTTATCCGTCGGTAAAAATCAACTGCTAGACTCTCTAGGTATGTAGTGTTACACTACATACATACACTACCTAGCTGGAGGTGAGGTGACGAATTTTGTAATCGCCACCTTAGGCAGGCGAATTAGCGATTGTATTAAGAGACGTCTCGCACATTTGTCGCTACTGCCTTTCGGAAGCCACACAGTCACAGTTATTTATGGCAGATCTTATAGTTACCTTTTAATACACGTGCTACAATTTTCCTTCATTCAATCGCCTATGAGACGAAAAGGAGTGATAGATTTTTTTACGTCACAAATAAATATGGCCTTTACATTTACATTTTAGGCAAGATATGGTATTTCTTAGCATAAGTAATATATTTTCCGTATACATAAATGGTGTATACATTGTAACATCAACCCAAGATACCGAATATCTTATTTCGCTTTGAGTTTCAATATGCAAAACAAAAGCATGATTTTATCAACAAATATTTTTTACGTATCATGAACCAAACCAGTGCTTAATTACTATCTCACATAATGGTAAGTGGTAACTGAGACGATGATAAAGCCCACTAGCACAACTCAATGCCTAATTACTCTGGCCTTGGCTTATATTCGTAATCGGTTGGAAAAACAGATAAGGGAATATTCCACTCCTTTGTAGTATGGCTATTTAAGAAGAAGCAAACCATTAAACAAAATTTTACAAAGCATTATTTCTTTTTGTATTCGGAACACCTAAATATCTTTTAAAAAAAAACGATTCCCACCTGGATATAGCAGTGTCCGAGCTAGTGAAGTCAGTGGGTGTCCCAGCGTAGTACTCGCCATTGGTGGCCAAGATACCAGTGACGTTGGAGTGAGGGTTGTGCGGGCAGAGAACTACTCCGGGAAGCCACTCCGATACGTTGTTGATTTCTTCGATCTATAAGGAAACAGAATTATTGGGCGTAAGATCATCATCTACTTCATATTATCTCGTGGGTGTAGTAAGAGGCGATAGAGTGAAACTAGCAGGAGTTGGACATTCAGGTCGCTTTATTATATTATTTAATATTAGAGTGAAAAATGACGTAACAATCCACTTGACGGTAAATGGCAATCATACCCGATAAAACGAAATTCAAAGAAACAAGGCAATATATAAGATAATAAGATGCAATGCCTCATATGTTTTTTAACTGGCTCATATTTATTATTTAAAATCGAAACACAGTGGGAGCATTATTGCTTAAATTTACCTGACTTTATAAATAAGTCACATTTACTGGTTTTTATTAACTAAACAAAAAAAATACGCGAATATATTATATGGATCAATTTGCAATTAGTCAAAAGAAAAAAAAATTCTTCTTTTCTTTTGACTAAATATTCAGCGGAGATAAACCTTACCTGCGTTAATATTTTAAACCTGCTCTTTAAACCTTATTAAAATCAGTACATAGGTTTTACTATTAAAATTATTAATTTTCTTTTTATTTTTAAAATTTAGTGTTGTCTGTGCTATTTACAAATATAAATGGAATAATAGGTACAAATATAGCATGGCTTATCATAACCCACTTACAGAAGTCAGGACAAATCCTTATCACAGACATGGTTTGATTAGATTATATTAATTATATACATATACGTATCAAAAAATATTGATCTCACCTCTCTCCAACTGCACATAGGACTGAATGCGTTGGTACCGCAAGCGAAGAGTTTGTGACCGTAGGACAGTAGGACTTTTATATAGTTATGGCAGTCTTCTTCAGTCTGGCCTTTCACCTGGCACATCTTCGTCTTTTCGGCTGATGCAGGCCAGTCGGAGCGTTCCAAAGGCCTGAGACCGCGTAAAGACAAGCGGTATAGGATATCCCTGAAACAAAATGTATAACAAATTTATAACAGTTGATGAAGTTGTACTTGTGCGTAGACTGCCTCCTTACAGAAAATATACAAAATTAGACCTGCTCAAAGTTCAAAAACTTTATTAAACTAAGTTTGTAGGTATAAAAAGTGTTACCATAATATTAAGGAATTTATGGATGATAATAACGCCTGAGTATGAGGCGATCACTACTAAGCTATTTATTTAATATTATTTAATATTTAATTTGTTTTGTGTTGTTAATTGTGTAACATACGTGGTTGTAAGCTATTATTGTTTTTTTTTTTCTTATAAGTCCCGCTGGGATTCTTGCTGGTTCTTCCCAGGACAGAGGTTTTATTTCGAACAAGTGGTAATTTTTTTTTAGTTTTTTTTTTTAAAACTTTACCCCCACACTAGGATTTTCTCCTGTGTCGTGGAGGCAGTTTACAAACATAAATTGCACAAGGACAAACATCCAGACCCGGAACAATTATTTGTAGGCCATACAAATACTTGTTCCGTGCGGGATTCGCACCCGCGGCCCCCAGCGCTACAACTTATTGCTAAGCCACTGCGCCACGGAGCCGTCGACGGAATTAAACAAAAGACTGACTTTCAATAAATATTATTTATATAATAATACTTATTGAAAGTCAGTCAAGTCAGTCAGTCAGTTTCTGTTGGGGTAGTGGTCATAATACGACTGCTTGTCATGTGGTCCGGTTGAAAATTCTACACCGCGCCGGTCCAAAATAGTTATTACATTTTCTGTCAAGAATTTCTCTGTAGCAGCCTTGAGTCTGGATGTTGGCGGTGTTCCAATCCATGGCTCAGAAATCACGTAAATCCATTGGATGTACGCCTGATCTCTCTCCGATCGTGCCGGATGGCCGTTCCATTGAATTGCGAAAATGAGAGAATCATGCACTATAATCCTGTCCTGCTATGTAATACATAAGTCTATGATAAAAATGGCAGCAGGTGAGCGAAATTCGGTCTGGAAGATTTAACATATTATCAATGTCTCAGCATTAGCGCTATCACAAAAGCACTCGTTAATTCCCAGTTTTCCATATTTACATCTAATATTAAATAATTTTTGATACAGTGTCAGTGTCAGAAATAACGACAAAAGCCTTGAACTATCATTGGCCTTCCAATTTTTCCTGTTATCAGGATTATCAGACTAACACAAATAAATCCAAGAAAACAATTATAAAATTTTGCAAATTATAATTTATTACAAAAACAGATGCTGTAGTGTAGTTTGCACGATAGTGGGCACGATTCGGCCTCCGACAATGTGACAGTCGTAAATTGAAATATTTGAAAAAATTTAATCACCTACTGTTATTAATTTTTGTATTTGTATAACGTTTCCTCCACACTACGACTTCCTCCTCTATCATTGAGGCAGTTTAAATAGATAAATTTCACTAGGACAAACATTCAGAATTCGAACTTCGAACTCGCGACCCTCTGAGCTGCAACTCATTGTTAAGCCACTGCGACACGGAGCCGTTGAAAAATTATCAAGCAGGAAATTATGGCATCCACGCAATACGGCAGATTTAAATAAGTAATCACGTATTCTTATAATATTGAGTGACAAAAACCTAGCAGTTATTTAATGTTAACCAACTTTAACAAATAAAGTTACAGATAAGTTATTATGCCTGAGAACTAAGATAAAATGATGCATATCCTATCGTTATACTGATACTCTTTAATTTTAAACCAAAACACAGCCGTCTGTAGAATTAGGTAACAGGGCAACTGAACCTGAAACTATTAGGCAGAAAATGCGCGCCAGCACTTAGTTTCCATCTAACCACAAGATCTGAAAAATCATTAACGTCTAAAAACATTTTCTACCTATTACACGCTTTACGTATATTAGCTACACTTGTATGCATGTTTGTATGTTAAGTATTTATGTATGCATAAATGAAAGTAATGGCGTTTTATAATTCAGTTCTCACCCACTTCCAGACGTCTTGAATAATCCCAAATTTAGCAGACGTATTATGAGTCGGTCACAATACAATAAATTCATGACTAATGACTATGAAGACCTAGTATTGTCACTAGAATTATCATAGCTCATGATCAATCACCGAAAGCGATCACCGAATGGTTAGAGGCACACTGAACCTAAACGTTAAGTTGGAGATGTCTGGTCTAATGAAGTCAACGCTCCGTCCCCCTCGTGCTCTGTTCCAAAGTCCTGAAACCTTAACCAAAGTTTTCAGTGCCTAGAAGACTGCAATGAAGTGGACGATATGAATGACAAGCTCGTGGAAACTGTCCATGCGATCGGAGCTAAGTTCTGCCAGACCCGCCGCAGAAGAACACAAAAACTCTCCGATCACACTCTTAATCTCATGGCTGTTAGACGGGAGATGAAGCTACATTCTTCAACAGACTTGACAGCATACAGGCATCTGAACAGACAGATCTCCAAATGCATGCGGCGGGACTTACGCAACTTCAATACAGCTCGTATTGAAGAAGCGATCGAGCGGAACCAAGGCTCCAAAGTCTTTGCCAGAGATCTGTCTGCCAGAAAGAGCCAACTGTCAAAGCTGAAGACAGAATGTGGCAGCATCGTTTCCGGGACACCTGAGATTTTGAGTGAGATTGAGAGGTTCTATGGGCAGCTGTACACATCATCGTTGGAGCCACACGCAAGTGTGAGTAACGATCCAAGAGCGAGTCTCATCCGACACTATTCCGAAGATATCCCGGATGTCAGTCTGAGCGAGATTAGGATGGCTCTCCAGCACCTTAAAAACGGTAAGGCCCCAGGCGAGGATGGAATTACAGCGGAGCTTCTGAAAGCGGGTGGAAGACCGGTACTTGAAGTCCTTCAGAAGCTCTTTAATTCTGTCCTCCATGGTGGCATTACACCGGAGGCGTGGAGCAGAAGTGCGGTGGTCTTGTTCTTCAAGAAAGGTGACAACGCTCTCTTGAAGAACTACAGACCGATTTCCCTTCTCAGCCGCGTCTACGTGCTGTTTTCGAGAGTCATTACGAATCGTCTCGCGCGCAGACTTGACGACTTCCAGCCTCCCGAACAAGCCGGTTTCCGAAAGGGCTTTAGCACCATAGACCACATACATACCCTTCGGCAAGTTGTACAGAAGTCCGAAGAGTACAATTTGCCACTATGTCTGGCGTATGTGGACTATGAGAAAGCCTTTGATTCCGTCGAAATTTGGGCGGTGCTGCAGTCCCTTCAGCGGTGCCAAGTTGACTGTCGGTATATCGAAGTGTTGAAGTGCTTGTACAGTAGGGCTACGATGGCTATCCGAGTACAGAACCAGAATACGAAACCTATCCAATTGCAGAGAGGTGTAAGACAGGGTGACGTCATATCCCCGAAACTCTTCACCGCTGCATTGGAAGACGTTTTCAAGCTTCTGGACTGGAAAGGATACGGTATCAACATCAATGGCGAGTACATCACTCACCTTCGATTTGCCGACGATATAGTCCTTATGGCAGAATCGCTGGAGGACCTAAGCACTATGCTCAATGACCTCAATAGTGTTTCCCAACGGATAGGTCTTAAGATGAACATGGACAAAACAAAGATCATGTTTAATGTCCATGTCACACCTATGCCGGTAGTTGTTGGGAGCACTAAGCTCGAAGTTGTTGGCGAGTATGTTTACCTGGGACAAATAGTCCGACTAGGTAAGTCCAACTTCGACCGAGAGGTCAATCGACGGATTCAACTCGGCTGGGCAGCGTTCGGGAATCTACGACACATCTTCTCGTCAGACATACCTCAAAACCTTAAAACGAAATTGTACAACCAGTGCGTGTTGCCAGTGATGACCTACGGAACTGAGACGTGGTCCTTCACTGCTGGCTGTATGAGGAAGCTCAAGGTCGCTCAGCGAGCTATGGAGAGGGCTATGCTCGGAGTTTCTCTGCGTGATAAACTTAGGAATGAGGATATCCGCAGTAGAACCAGAGTGACCGACATAGCCCAACGGATTAGTAAGCTGAAGTGGCAGTGGGCCGGCCATATAGCTCGAAGAACCGACAACCAATGGGGAAGAAAGGTTCTCGAGTGGCAGCCTCGTACCGGTAGGCGAAGTGTAGAGCGTCCCCCCACGAGATGGAGTGACGACCTGGTAAGACATGCAGGAAGTCGATGGATGCAGGTGGCTCAGGACCGTGCTTTGTGGCATTCTTTGGGGGAGGCCTATGTTCAGCAGTGGACTTGTGAAGGGCTATAATGAATGATGAATGGCTTCCCACATGATAAATGAAGAATTTAAAAATAGATTCAGTTGAACAATTGATATTTTCAAGTTATCGTGTTTACGCCTCCATGCAGACTTGATAGATCTACACCTTATGCCACTATCTTTCTGACAATATGCTTTTTATATCATCTATATGTTCAATATGATTGTTAGATACGATTTCATGCGACAAAATGTTGGAATCTTGATTTTTAGGCGCTAGTAGAACATACCTACGCGCTTTGCGCTTAAGGCATGCAATACTAACAAACCAACCCGCAAATCATTACATCTGTTCGCTACAGGGGTGAGGTCATACTTACCTTACCATCAGGTGGAGTAAAAATCAACTACCTCTACCTGTATAAACAATGTGGTTGTAATTGCTCATCGCAAGAGAATGCTCAATGTGTTGTTACCTGCTAACTGCTAAGAACCTTTCGAGTAACGTCAATGGCGATACTTATTCAAAATAAATAGGCTTCTTACAAGCTCGTTCCTTAGTTATGATAAATAATGCGCAATAGTAAGACACACTATACACTTGCGAACAGTGAAACGTGACTGCTGTGTAAAGTCTCCGATTTCATTGTTGTTTGTAATATAACGTAAACTCGTTTTAAATGAATGAACTCAACGAAAGGTATTGCCGTATACATCACAATCATAAAATAAATATACACATCATCATCTAGAAATATAATATAGAAAATAGGCGCTGTACCATTTCTGTACGTACTTGAAAAA